GCCTGCCAAATCCCCACTGCCCAGCTCCGTTCCACCACTTCTCCATGGAGCAATCAAGTTTTCCTCCCACATGGAGAAATCAAGCAGTGGGTGTCACGACAGCTAACAATTTTCAGTTACCTTCTTTCCTGCTCTCTGCATTCAGGCAGAGGCACAAGTACATAAATACCACTTGGGTGACTGTTATTAATGCTTGAACATGGAGCCTAATGGTTCCCCCTCACCAGCAGGTTTTCTAACCCTTTACCTCCCCTCTCAATCATCCTGGATACCTGAAAATTTCATGTCCTCTGACGCTGATTAAGACAACTCCCATGTTCTCCAGACTGTTTACATAAATAGACATTTTAATGCATTTTGCCAGCAAGCTTTCCTTTGACGCCTTGGCACAGATGGTTGATATTTCCGTGCCGCGGCAGCTATTAGATCGTAATGTTACCAGTAACGACTTTACATCATTTGTACCATGTATGCTCCAGGCCCCTGCAGCAGGACACACTGGGAATTCAGCTACCATGGGCTCAGGCTGCTCCTGCCTTCACCAATAGAGTTTGCACCCCTTGGCTTGGAGACATTGCTGCTTTGTGGATCCATACAACACCTTGCTGTAGCTGGGGGTACTCCACCCATTGTCCTCCTGCTATGGGGACGTCAAGCATCGCCTCTTCCCACTCCCTGGGAGACCTGCCTCGCATGGATGATGAGCTTTTCTCCTTGGGTGCTGTCCTAGAGAGACATTTGCCCTTTTCATCTCTCCAATTTGCTTTTAAAAATTAACAAAAGGTTCCCTACAGGTCTGAACCAATTTCCTCTTCCTTCCTTTGGAGCCACCAGAGTTTTGGACCAATCTAGATCCAAGTCCCCATGAGCTCCAGCCACAGATATGAACTGACTGCGGCTTTGGGGAGGCCAGTGCAGGACTCTCCAGTCTCTTTCTTGTTATGTTAACAATAGCAAAACACCGCAGAGACGGCGGCTGAAATTCAAGCGCTATTTAAACAAATGAATATGTAGGGTATAGTTCATACAATGCGAGTTCAGACGAGGAAAATCAGAACAGCCAGGCAGCTCAATGTGAACCAGATTTTCAAAACAAAAACAAAACCCCAAAGCCCTTCCTCAAGGAAGCCCTCGCCGAATTCTTTCCCCTGCTGAGAAGTCCAACATCACGCCTTGTACTAAAGCTTTTGCATTTCACTCCAAGGAAGGATTTGAAGGGGGGAAAAAAAAAAAAGGCAAAAGCAGCACATTATGGAACGGGGTCTGGCTTGCAGCCAGGGCTGGGGGGAAAGCAGCACAGAAACCCTTTGGTTTAGCAGCACATTTCACTCCCGCTCCATGGCAGAACAAGGCTTTGCAAAGCCCTCGCCGTTTAAACCCGCAGCGCTGCAGAGTCTCAGCTTCCCTAAGGCGAATCAGTCAATTGGTTCGACTGTATTTAAAATCCCCCAGAGTCCACCTTTAAATCACCTTTATATTCCTCTACCCAAAGCTAATAGTTTCTACCTGCATTTCGCTTCATCTCTGTAGAAAAACAAGCTATTTAGCAGTCACATTAATAATCCGCAGCAATCTGGTTGTCATTTCCCTGATGGAAAATTTCATGCTGCTGCCCGGCAGCCGCGACACGGCGAGTGCTGCGTGCACCTCCAGCCGCTCCGCGTCCTTCCCACCAAACCCCGCCGCAGCGAGGGTGGCAAGGGGCAGAGGTGGGGAGGACGGGCAGAAGAGGCAGAGCTAAGCCCAGTCAGGCATGCGTAGGGTTCATGGACATGCAGGAACAGTGTGGAAGCAGCCTGATGCTGAGGGAGAAAGTCAGCGAGCTTGTATCAGGAGGAGCTTTGAGGAAACCCAGCTCCTGAACCCCTGGCCATACCATGGTGAAATATCTGTGGACAATGACGTTACTGCGGAAGGTGGTCTATGGAGAAGAGCTTTAGGATGGAAGGTCCTAAGGTAGGAGATGAGCTCCTGGGGACACGAACTACCTTTGCTATGTGCATCCAGCACCCCTGGCCACAGGAGCTCAGTCTGGCCAGGTTCACTGGTGGGTGAAGGCAAATAAACAGCAAGAGGTGGGGGCCAGTGTGTTCAACACACTCCAAACTTCCACTCATTTTGACAAGCTTTCAAACCACCACTTTCATCCAAAATATCTCAACCTGGCCTCCTCTGTTAAGCAAATAACTGTAAAGACTGTTTCAGTCTTCTAGGCATCTTCCATGGAGAAAAGCAGGTCCCTCCAGGATGCCTGTTCCAAGGCGAGATGCAAAGCCTCCTGAGGAGCGTACTTCCCTCCCCTGGCTATAATGAGGACCTCAGCTAACCAGCTTATGTTCTGAAGTCCAGGATGTTCCAGTGGTCCCAGAGCTGCTGAATCCCACCCGACACTGCTGGAGACAGACAGGAGGACAGAAGCGTTCCTCTTCCCAGAGTAACCACCAGCCCATCCATCCTCTCACCTCTGGCAAGGTGCTGGTAAACAACACGTAGCTTTTGACATGGCACCATGAAACATGTCCTGAAAGTATTTATCCTAATATAGCCCCATGTGCCCAGGGTGGCCTCATGTGAAAAGCCCAAGAACTAAATATTCATTAAATAAGCAGAGAGCTTAATATAGAAAGTCATGGAGTCAAGTACTCTTCAAGCCCCCTCACATCTTTGCAAACATCAGCCAATGAAGATAAATTTGGCGCGGTTGATCACTTGCACTTTTATGAAAGGCTCTTCTAAAAGAAAAAAAAAAAAAATCACATGTTTCAGTGTTTATAATCTCTGCAGAAAGGCCTGGTCCAGCATTTCTTCCTTCTAATTCCTGCTCTCATAACTGTCAGATTATGAAACCGCAGGCTATAAGCCTCCCGAGTTTACAGAAAAACACCTCTCTGCTCTCTGCCGCCGCTTCGAGCAGATGAACTAATAAAAACACGCTCTGCTATTCCCTCCAAGCGCCTGGCAGAAAGGAATCTGGAACAGTAGTAGCTTCAAAATACCGTCAAAGAAAGCAACCACCCACAGCGTCTGGAGTCCCCCCACGCTTATCAGCTCCCTTCACCTTGTTGCCCGAAAACCACCACAAAAGTCTGCCTCTTCCCATCCAGCTGCCCAGCAGAATGCACAGCTGGCTGGGGCAGCAGCCAGCACCCCGCTGCCCTGGTTCCCCTGAGCCAAAGAACGAAGGAGCCGTGCTGCCTATAGGGCGTTGGATGACAGGAGCTTGCTCGGCCACCCATCCCAGTGGGATGGTCCTCCTGGTACCCGCACAGGAGCCTACATCAGCATCTCCCAAAGATGCTCCTGACAAACGGCAACAAGCTTCAACAATTCACCCCTTGGACAGGGGCAGCAAAGACACAGCAGATCTGCTTTCAGCTCTCAGCCAAAGGAGGGATGCAGCTGTTGATCGCTCTCCTGGAGCCACTTCCCCCCAGGTTCTTAGGAGATGATCTTCCCAATGTTATTAAACACAGGTGGAACTGCTCAAGCTTCCCCGTGGAGCTCCCACCAAGGGCAGCGCGTGAAGGTGAAACCTGCAGCACTTCAGATCACGTCGCTGTTTGATGTGTCCCGAGAACAGCACCCAGCCAGCCTGCCAGCTGTTGATCGCTCTCCTGGAGCCACTTCCCCCCAGGTTCTTAGGAGATGATCTTCCCAATGTTATTAAACACAGGTGGAACTGCTCAAGCTTCCCCGTGGAGCTCCCACCAAGGGCAGCGCGTGAAGGTGAAACCTGCAGCACTTCAGATCACGTCGCTGTTTGATGTGTCCCGAGAACAGCACCCAGCCAGCCTGCATTAGGGCATCAGGGAGGAGGTGCTGGCTGGGGGGGGCCCCTCCAGGGGCGCCGTGGCT